CATCGGCATCTTCTTCTTCTGCAGCTACATCATCATTTCCTTTCTCATCGTGGTGAACATGTACATTGCCATCATCCTGGAAAACTTCAACGTGGCCACAGAGGAGAGCAGTGAACCCCTCTGTGAAGACGATTTTGAAATGTTTTATGAAACTTGGGAGAAGTTTGACCCAGACGCCACCCAGTTCATTGCATACAGCACCTTGTCTGATTTTGTAGACACCTTACAGGAGCCACTCAAAATTCCCAAGCCAAACAAGATCAAGCTAATCACCATGGATCTACCAATGGTTGCTGGGGACAAAATCCACTGTCTGGATATCCTCTTTGCCCTGACGAAGGAAGTGCTGGGAGACTCAGGAGAGATGGATGCCTTGAAGGCCACCATGGAGGAGAAGTTCATGGCTGCAAACCCCTCAAAGGTTTCCTATGAACCCATCACCACAACTCTGAAAAGAAAGCATGAGGAAGTCTGTGCTACAAAAATCCAGAGGGCTTTCCGGAGGTACCTCCTGAGGCGCTCGGTGAAGCAGGCCTCCTACATGTACAGGCACAGTAAAGACGAGGATGCCCTGAGAGAGGATGCGCCCGAGAAGGAAGGTCTGATCGCCACCAAAATGCACGAGATATATGGGAACAGTGGGACAGATGTGGAGACAGCCCCTGCCTTTGGTCTTGCACCCGTTCCCAGCTCAGAGACTCGAGATGCTCCTGGCGAAGGAAAAGCATGGGATAAGGAACGCATTGTGAAAGAGTCACTGGTATAACAGAAAGCGGCTTCCAGCTCTCGCCCGGCCTGAAGAGACTTCATTTGTATCTCTTTTCATGAGCTCGTCCATATACGGATCGATAGATCTTAGATATTGAGCTAATTTCAGATCTTTCAAGTTAGACACCTTCACTTTCAGAGCAGGATCTCTTGCCGATCCTGGTTTTTACAGCTCACTGCACTTGCAAAGAGCTTAACATTTTTCGTACGAGAATTAAATGTGAAATCTGTTGCTGGTGAAAGAGAAACATTTTAGTTTTGAAATGATCTCATCATGGTAACGATGCTTTTCAGACATTAATGAATGAGTCCGGTTGTCCTTTTACTTAATTATTTATTAATGTTATTTCACAATTAAGAGATTTTCTTGTATATTATTCTTCCCGAGGGCAGCCAAGTAGCCAGTGAAAGATGAGCCAAGTGAAATAATATTAAGAATAATTACAGAAAAGACAAGGTTTTGTGAACAAAAATCTCCAATGTCTTAAAAGTAGCACCTTTCTTTGGAATATTTGAATAAGCTTTACAGATATTTTTTTTCTTTTTTGTTTTTTGTTATATACAGAGAAAGTGCAATTATGTCTTAAAGATTTGTTTGCATAGCCAAAACGAAGCATCTGCAGATATGTTCTCAGGGTTAAATATCAGGTTTTAAAGGTCTCTGAATATGCATTGAAACCATCGATCTTGCAGGTCTCTATGGTTCGAATGTAAAGGGTATTTTATAGTCATGCTTCTTCTTCCCTGTTTTCCCGGTTCATCCAAGTTGTGTGGCAGGAAAGCGATGGACAAAGGTTGGGTTTGGAAAACCTCCTCCAGGAATCCCCAGTCCCCATAACAAAATCCCCCAGGGTTTCTTCAAGCCCCATAGCAAGAGGAAATGTCCCGCTGGAGCGCTCTTAGTTAGTGTTAATTAACGAGACGCATCCCCGGGGATTGGCGCAGGTCCTTGCAATGAGCTTGCTTCAATGGGGTCCCTTAATCCCATCAGCCACCGAGCACTGGGGGCCATAATGCTCCCACTGGGGTGAGAATCCCAAAATAATCGAGCAGAGCATCCTTCCCTTGGCTGGGGCTCTGGCGAGGACCTGGTGGCACGTGCTGGGGTCCCTGCAGAGCCTGACGGGGCCAGGCAAGTCCTCACCAGTAGCCCTCCAGGCAGAGGAGCACTTCCCCAGAGGGGAAGGGGTTTGCTGCTCTTTACACCAATAGGTTAAAGGAAAGTAAATCAAGAAAACTGCACAAAACAACCCAAGTTCCTCTCCGGACCCCCTCCTGCCTTCAAAAGGGAAAAAAAACCTCTTGAGATCAAAACAAACATGAACCAAAACTTCTTCCAGTTAAAACAAGGGCTGCTTCTTGAAGCCAAAGGGTCTGTCTTTTTGTATTATTATTATTATTATTGTAATTTTTCTTTTTTCTTGGGCTGATTCTGTCGCTGAGCCGTTACGGATGCCCCACGTTCAGGCTGGCCAGGAGCGGTGCTGAGCTTGCTTGCATCCACATGCTGTGGGCCAGGCAGCAGAGCCGGGGTCGCTCTGCTCATCCCGTAGCGTTGTGCTTCCATTTCCATGTTGCATAGGGTGGTGCTCCCTGGAACAGGAGCCTGAGCTGCTCTTTTTCTGCAGCTTTTGCAGGGATAGCATCCACGGCATGGCGGTTTCCAGCCCGGATTGTGCTTCACCATCAATGCTGCTTGTACGTCTGTGTCGTCGGTGATGGGAAAAATGCCAAAGAGCAGGATTTGTGTGAGCTAAAGCCATTTTCCTTTGTACCTTTCTTAAAATAAACAACTGTAAATGGTCTATTATTACGATACCAGATGCGTTGGGGTGTGTTAGAGGGAAAAAATGTTTTTTCTGACCCTGAGAAGGGTAAATCCCCCCTCCCTTTGCTCCAGCGCAGCCCCTGTGCATGGTCTTGGCTGGACCTGCCATCCTCAGCAAGGCCTGGTGGTCCCATCCTGCACAAGGGATCCCCTGGATGTCTCCCCCTGGTACCTCCAGCCCAACCCAGAGCTTCTGCTCTGCTCACAAACAAGTCCCCTGGAGCCCTTGGTGCCTCACAGCAATAAGCCCTGGCTCTAGGAGATGCTGCTGCAGGTTCAACCAAGGAGAGGGGTAGGCTTGGAGGGGGTGCAGACACCCCTGAGCTACCCCATGCCAGGCTCTATGGGGCCATCCCTGCCCCACCGGCCCCACGGAAACAGTTCAGCATCATGGGGAGAAGGCAGTGGTGGGCGAAGGAGGTTTCTGCGTCAATGTGTGTCTGGAGGAGGAGCCACCTCCGGGACCCGCTGACGTCCCCGAGGGCCCCGATGGCCTCAGCACTCTGTTTTTTGCTCTCGCTGGAACACTTCGTCCTAGGGCTGGTGTAATTCAAGTTGAGAGCAACATGGTGCGGCGCAGGCAGGGGGCTGGAGGGAGAAGGGGGCACAACCCACCATCCCCGTCCTCCGGCAGCGGGGGAAAGGACAGCAGTGAAACCCAAGCCCTGATGAATAGGAATGGGCTGGGAAGGGCGCAGCTGCCAGGCGGTGGCTCCGCTCTGCCCATGGGGCATGGGCTGGGGAGCCAGGGTGGCCCAGGGGAGGAGAGATGGGGATGCAGGACCCTCCCTGCGAGACCACCAGGGCTCCCTACATCCTGTGCCGCTGTGCACTGCAAACACAGGGGACCCCAAGGGGAAACCACGGCCCTGCGGACCAGGCCTGTGCCCGTTGGAGGGTGCCAAGGACCCTGCAGGCAGCACAGTGGGGTAATTTGGCCACCGTCACGGCAAACTCTGTTTGGTTTCATGCCCAGATCCTGATTTTGCCTTACGGGGCTTTCTCAGGCACCTCCAGCATCCCTGCCTCCCTCATCACAGCCCCCATCTCCAACCCCAGGGAGAAGATAGAAATCCCTCCAGTGCCCGCCGAGCACATGGGGCATCCCCTGCAGCTTTTGCCTTGCCAGGACATCACGGCCCAGCTCTGCTTTTCCAGCACGAGCTGGGGCGATGGCAGCAGGGACTCAGCAGCACAGCCCCAACACCCAGCACCCT